AATAATTGAATTTTTAAATTTTCAAATTATTAATTATTTTTGTTTTGTTTCGAGGAAAGTGAATGAAAACAATGGAAATAAAAGATTTTTTATTTTTCTATTTCGCAAAAATGGGAAATTATTCGTTCGGAAGATGATCATTGAACGAAAATAATGAATTCACTACAAGAGAAAAGATAAAGGTAAAAAGTTGTTGTTTGAACTATTGATAGAGCATTTTTTTTTTATTTATAAAATGATCAAAATATGTTAAAAAATTGTAACGATTCGCTCTAGAATCATCCTATATATATATATATATCTATACGTCAGATTCTTATTAAATACGTTAAATATCACATTCACGTTTATCGTATCTACAGAATATACAAAATTCACTTCGATCCGCTTATTCGTTCATTAGCATAATTCACTGGGACGTAAATACATAGAGAATTCTTAATGGGAATCGTTCGATTCTTTTCTTCTTACGTACATTTTTCTCTTCGAATCTTTATCCTCGTTTCGCATTTGCATTTAATTTATTCGAATATTTATATTATTTATGCTCATAGTGATGGCATATTCAGCATATATTTACTATTACACGTGCTGTTTAATTGAATATGAGCTTACCGGCGTTTTTTTTTTTTTTATTATTATTATAGTTAATTATTTGCAGGATTAAACGATGTGATATTTTCCCGTGTGCGCTAAAAATTTTCAATTTTCAAGGCAAGATTCAGATGAAACGAAGAGTTAATTTTACTAAGAAAGTAATTTATAAATATAGGATGATCTGGTAATTCATGGTAAATTCTGCGGTTTAAATGAAGAATAATAAAATTGCATAGATGGCTTCGTTTTCGAAAAAAAAAAAAAATGCATTTTGAAAATCAATCGAATTGCTGTGATTATTCTTTGTACATAATATGTGCTTATTTATTAATCCAAATATTATTGTCGAAATTAGAATATTAGATTATCCAAAAAGAAAGAAGGAATATAAGTATGACGAGACGAGTCGATTAATTTAATTTTTGTATTTCCAAAATTTCAATTTTCATTTCTCTGCCAAAACCTTTTCTTCAAAATTTTCATGCTTTCAAATTATCAAATTATTATCACTTTTCAAAATTCGTGACATCTCAATAATCGTTTAAACTGATATTCTTAATAAACTTAATCACAATTATCATACCTTTTAATATTAATTATCTTTTAATATATATATGACTAGATTCATCGATCGAGATTTATTATCCTAATAATATCCTCGACTAATTAAATTAATAATATCAATAGAACGAATTCAATGTACACAATTAAACGAATTTTACAAGATTTAATTTGTCGATCGTGCATCGTTATAAACAAATTTTTTCTTTCTCTTGCCTCAAAAAAATTCCAATTTCGATATTTTTTATGGAATATCTTCGGTTTTATTTTCCTTTCTTCAACATCAAAATCCCGCAAATAATACGTGTAATTACCGTCTTCCAGTTACAATATAATAATTTTGCTTGTTAAATCGTTTTAACATCCAGACGGCAGGATCGTCCTTTCGTTATAGCATAATATGGCATCTTAATACAAATATATACAAACGATAGACCTCTATAAACGTTAAAAATTCGTCGATGGAATTTTTCCAAACGAAAATAACGCGTCATCCATTATCAGCATTTATCAACGTAACACATTTGAATAAATGGATTATGTGAAAATAGGTATCTCGCCATTGTGCCACTAAAACTCATTATCTTGCGAAAATTCGTTAAATCGATCTTTATCTTTTATTCCAATAGAGTTATTTAACAATTCGTACGTAATTTCGAGTTTTATTTTCCTTTTTTTTTTTTTTTTAAATCTTTTACATACATCGACGTTTTGTATAAAA